GCTGCGCCTGTGGCTCACGCCAGGGTCCCTGTGGCCCAAGGCCAGAGGGTGTCATGAGGCTGCTGACAGCTTCAAGGAGAGGACGGGTGCACTCTGGCCTCACTGACCTCAGCCTGGTGCCTGGCCCAACCACTCTGCTCTGCTGCAGCCATGGGACCAGGGCCGTGTTGGCCAGGGGAAGGAAGAAGCCAGTTCCCAGGCCAGGAACAGGAAGGCAGGGGGAGTGTGGCAGGGGCCAGGATGACAGTGCTTCCTGCTGTGGGAAGGGAAGGACGGCAGAGACAGACAACAGCCAGGCAGGAAGGATGCGCCTTCTTCAGGGCTGCAGGTGGGGGCTGGGCAGTCATGGAGTCTCTGCACATGGCAGCCCTCAGGTCCAGAGCTGCTCTGGCTACTGAGCAGTCTGGGGTTCACATGGTCACAGGGGAGCCAGTTCTTTACAACTAGAAGTGTCTTTCCCAAAAGAACAACATGGCCTGACACAGTTCCAACCAAAAGGAAGACCTCAGAAGTTTATTTAGCCATCCATCCATCCACCCACCCATTTATCTATCTTCCATCCATCCATCTCCATCTCTCCATCCTTCCTCCATCCATCATCCGTCCATTATCCATCATCCCATCCATCCATCCAGACGTCATCCATCCATCCATTTATTCATCCAACAAATATTTACTGAGACTTTCCTGTGTGCCAAGTGCTGTGCTAAGCATACAGTGGGGTTAAAAGAAAAAAGAACTATATTGGTCCTTACCCCACAGAAACTCACTGCCTAATGAAGGACATGGACAAACATTACTTAAATAAACAAGCAAACAAATAAATCATTAAAATTGTGACCCAAAGGATGGAGCAAGCCACCAGAGGCGGATAGGGCTGTTCCACAGGGGTGGGAAGTCACGTCTGGGCTGAGGCACGAGGGTGAAAGATGCCAGCCATGAGGCCATGAGGCGAGGCTGGACCACAAGGGTATGGCAAGGTGGGCAGGGCCAGGCCTAGGTCAGGGCTGTGGGCTTTCCTGGAAGTGCAGTGAGAAGTCACTGATGGGACTTGAGCACGAAACATCCCCAAGGAACACAGAAGGGCAGGAGCAGGCCTGGGAGGCCACTCTGGGGAGCGCAGCTGTGCCAGCCCCATCAGGAGGGCAGGGGCTGCACCGAGATGCGTCCAACCCAAAAGGCTTTGGTGGCAGGCAGATGCAGTGGGGTGGGGGCAGCTGTGGGGTTAGAACCTATCAAAGGATGGGCTTTTGATGGGGCTGAGAGGGGAGTATGAGTCTGGAGTTTAGCATCAGAAATGCAAAACTCGGGTGTCTGTGGGGTGCCCATCAGTGGGCAGCAGGGTACTTAGGGCTGGAGTTGAGAGCAGTGTCGAGGCTGCAGGCAGACTCGGGGTGTGTGGACACTTCAGAGACAGGGCGGTGGAGAAGAGAGAGGAGCAGCCCTGGGTGCTGGGGGGGGGGTGCTCCCTTCCCTAATCCCCTAGGGCTGAGGGTCTGGGGGCTGCACCACGTGGGTGGGTGGGGACTAGGGGAAGGGTCAGGCACAGAGCAGTGGCCAGGATGTGGGGAGGAAGAGGGGCAGTGGCTGAGAGTGTAGGAGATGACCCCCTAGGAAAAAACTAGTGATCAGAAGAGAAAGGGATCCCCATCAGAGCCAGGTCAGGCCAAGGACCCTAGGCTGAGACAGGGCCTGGTTCTGGGGACAGGAATGTCAGAGACTGATGTGGGGTCAGATGTAGGGAAATGCGATGTCCACATCTGATGGTTTTGCTCTGTCCATGCTGAGAGTGAGGGAGGAGGGCGCGCCCTGAGCCACATCTGCAAACAGGGAAACAGGGGCAGCGGCCCATGCTTTGTGCTGCGGTGTTGGCTGCATCGTGTCATGGGGTCAGATGCAGGGCCAGAGGCCAAGAAACAAGTGGAGTGACAGGCTTTGGTCCCTCTGCACCAGGACGGGCAGCAGCAAGAGGAAGCAGTGGGGGCTTGGGATGGGACTGCAGGATGGAGCCGCTGTGGGCCAAGAACACCCGAGCAAGGGACACACAGGAGATGGGCATCGGGTCCAGGGCATGCCCACGGAAGGGAGTGACTGATGAGAGAGAAGGGCAGGACCACGAAAGCCAGGATGCTGGCAAGCCATCATGGGGATGCTGAAGTCATGGGCAGTGGCGGGAGGTGGGATGGGAAGGGCATGGTGGCCAGGAGCTAGGTCTGCAGAGAATGAAAGGAAGTAACCAGGATAGCTGCTGGTGACAGCTTTAGTGGGCAGAGGGCAGTGCCTCAGAGGGGCTACTGTGGGGGTGGGGGTGGGACACAGGAGGGTGCAGGTGGATGGCAGTAACCACCCAGGCAGTTCATGGTGTCCTCAGAAAGCTGGGCTTCAGGGTGGACAGGAGGGGACATCCAGAGAAGCAGGAAGGTCTGCAGCAAAGTTTGCTGGTCACAGGGCACAGGGGAGGTTGGTGAAGGCAGGGGGCACTGGAGTAAGTCAAGGCACCCCATGATGAAGGAGAGCTTGCCCACATGGGCAAGAGGGCCGGCAAGCATGACGGGTAGCCCTGAGTAGAGCAGGGATGCCTCCTTGGTAGTGAGGGGGGTCTCCAGGGAGGAAGCTCCCAGAGGCTGGCTCCACTCCCCCCACGCCCGTACACAGTCCAGTCTGACAGGTGTTCTAATAGGGGCCCAAGGACAACTAGACGGATGCTGCCTGAGTGATGACCAGGACGTGTGAACTAGACCCTGAAGAGGGCAGCCTGTGGAAGGGAAGGAAGGAAGGAGGGATGTCCCAGGCAAAAGGATGAGCGAGGCGAAGCGTGCAAGTTAGGGAAAAGAACTGCACTGTGGGCGGATGGGGAGAGGCCCTGGGCCCCTCAGGACATGAAGCCAGAGGCCAGGCCTGCCCCACTGTGTCTTGGGAGCAAAGGGGCGACCGAAGGAAGCCAGGTTGGCAGTGTCCATCGCTCTGGAGCCGGCAGGTGTGCTGGATATGTACCCCCAAGATGGGAAGCCACGGCCTCCCCGGGCCCAGCTCGACACCCAGACCTTGCCGTGGAGTGCACGCTCCCTGGTGAGGTTGCCCACAGGCCTGGCCTCTCTCCTGACCACTTGCTGGGCCATCGGACGCACAGCCCTTTCATCCCCACAGGTCCAGCCCACCTGCCACCCCCCTCTTCTGCAGCTCCAAGGACAGACCACCTTCCACTCGGGCACCCACATTCTTGCCAGCTATCTCTCTGGCTGGTGTGGCCTCAGGCACTTTCAGTGCCCTGAAAAAATCCACTTCTCCTTCAAAGTTCAGCTCAAAGGTGCCCTCCTGGGTCCCCTCCGAGCCCCTCCCGGCCCCTCCCTCCCTCATGAGAGGAGGGAGCCCCAGAGGTGTAAGGTAGGGGCTACTAATGCCCAGACCCTGCTGCTGTGGCACATCCACCAGGGGCCCCAGGCAGGGCGGGCCCCAGGCCAGGCCAGCCAGCCTGAGTGTGCGGAGGAGCTCACTGGAATCAAGCAAAGCAAAGACTGCAGGAGGCACAGCAGCTGACCAGGCAAGCGGCTGCATCTCAGGGCGGCTGGAGGGCCTCAGTTTCCCTATCCGTGCAGTGAGTCTAGATGCTCCATAAGGGTCTTCCAGCTCTGGCCCATGGTGCAGGGTGTGCGGAGGGGTTTGGCCCAGAGGAAGGGAGACGGGTCGGGGTGGGCAACAGATACTGACTGGTGGCTGTCTAGCCCGAACTATACCGGCATGAGATCTTGATGTGTAGAGTGTGCTGTTCAGGTGCTGCCACCTGGGGTAGCTTGGGGCCCCCCCAACTATTATGGGGTCCCCTGGGTTCCACCCCACCTCGTGAGCTTCAGGGTGGGACCCCGGAGCCTAAAGGAGCTGGACTGGAGAGGACAGAAGAGCCAGACTCCTGCTGCCCTGACTGCTCAGGCCTGTGGGTTTGGGAGGGGCTGGGGTAGGATAGTGAGCTGTGCCCACCACGAGGACAAGGACTTGGGGGGAGGGACAGGACGCAGCCCTGGGCTTCTGGCCACACAGCCCTCCCTTCCTGTTGTCTCAGGATGGTTCTGGCAGGATGCATCTGCCAGAGTTCCAGGCCCAGACCTCCCCTGGGGCCTGCTCCCACCCCCACCAGGATCCCACCCCCCACACATGCTAGCATGTCAGAGAGACACAAACATGCACACTTGCACACACACATAAGCCACACACACCACTCAGGCACAGAGCCACACACAAACACACACAGATTCCCAGACCCAGGCCCACAGATACAGACACACACACACACAGAGACCCATACCTTTCAACACGCACATGCATACACACACCCATCCCATACCCCTGGGGGAGGGTGATGGGCTGGAGGTGCAGGGGCAGGGAGCCTGGCTCCAGTCAGCCTGTAGCCATGGGGGCGAGAGGGGCTTCCCACCCAGGGAAGCAGGTCTATGAGTGGGGCAAAGCAAGAGCCCTGTGGGAAGCCCCCGGGGGGCGGGGGAGGCCTGGGCAGGGAGACCCCCATGGAGGCAGGGCAGCCAGGGCCCCAGTGTGGGCGGAGGCTGTGGCAGAGCCAGAGAACACCTGTGCAGTGGACGCCATGGTGCCTGGGAAGGGTGATGTCATGGGCAAGGCGGGCAGGGGGCCTGGGAGTGGGTCTGAAGTCCAGGAGGGAGGGGCCTCCACGCAAAGCTGGAGGGGTCTGCCGTCTCCCCAGCTCCTGCATGCCAGCAGCTCGGCTTACTAGGCCAGAGGTGGGGGTTCATCCAGCTGTGGCCAGGGATCACTTGCAGGGCAGGCAGACGTCGGCCTGGGGAGGTTACTGGCTGTCTTGGGGCTTGGGGGCTGGTACTGCCCTGGGGCATGTGGTGAGGCCAGGCCATGCTGTGCCTCTGAGACCCTGAGCTGTCCCCCACCCCAGAGTGGGGTCTGCCCTGTGGGCAGAGGCCTGCTGCTGTCACGTGGACTCGTGACCCAGCGCCATGCTGACTTTCTTTCATCCCCAGGTCTGGTGAGCGGCTACTCCATGACACCCCCGACCCTGAACATCACAGAGGAGGTGCATGTCATCGACACCAGTGACAGCTTATCCATCTCCTGCAGGTATTGGGTCCCCCTGCTGAACGGCAGGGAGGCAGCAGAAGCCAAGGCAGAGGTGGTGGCTGAGGGCCCAGAAGGCAGCCCTCCCAGGGCAGAGTGGCCTTGAGGCTGTGCCAGGCTCCCCTCCCAGGACGTGATGCCTGGAAGTGCTTCCCCAGCCTCACCCACACCCCTCACCTCTCACCTGGCACGCATCACCCTGCACTCACCCCAGCCGCCCTTCACTGGCCCCAGCCCCGCACACTGGGGCCTGGAGATGGTATCTTCCCTGGGGCCCCAGCTGTGATTCAAAGCCTGGGCTTCTCCTTGGGCCAGCCTGCCACATACAGCCCTGGGAGCCAGGTAGAGGCCTGGAGGCCCAGGGAGTGCCCTGCCCCGGGCAGTTCCACCCTCCAGGTGAGACCAGCATGGACAAGGCGTGGCCTTTGAGGGGGGCGCCTCAGGGATCAGCTCTGGGCTGCAGCTGCGGACCCTCTTGACCTCTGCCGCCCTCTCCCAGGGGTCAGCACCCCCTCGAGTGGGCCTGGCCAGGGGCTCAGGAGGTGCCGGCCACAGAGGACAAGGACGGGGAGGACACAGGGTTGGTGAGAGACTGTGAGGGCACGGACACCAGGCCCTACTGCAAGGTGCTGCTGCTGCACGACGCACAAGCCAACAACACGGGCAGCTACCGCTGCTACTACAAGTACATCAAGGCCCGCATCGAGGGCACCACAGCTGCCAGCACCTACGTGTTCGTGAGAGGTGAGGCCTTCAGCGTGAGCGAGGCAGGCTGGGCTCGGGCAGGGTCCTGGGGGAGGGCCAGTGCCTGGCTCTCAGTCCCAGCCCACTGACTACAGGAGGAGAGAAGGGGACCTCACTGCTCAAGAGGGCAGCCCTCAGGCAGGAGCAGCCCCGCCCAGCCCCACAGGGCCTCCTGCGGCTGCCGCACCCTGCCCCACACCTCTCCCTCTCCACAGACTTCAAGCAGCCGTTCATCAACAAGCCCGATACACTCCTGGTCAACAGGAAGGACTCCGTGTGGGTGCCCTGCCGGGTGTCCGTCCCTGGCCTCAACGTCACGCTGCGCTCGGTACAGCCCCACCCCACCCTGGGATCTGGCCCTCCTATCCCAGCCTGGGAGAGGTGGCTGCAGTCTGGACAGGAGGAAGCAGGCAGCCAGGCGCTGACAGTGACCATATCCCTCCAGCAAAGCTCAGTGCTGTGGCCAGACGGGCAGGCGGTGGTGTGGGATGACCGGCGGGGCATGCGGGTGGCTACACTGTTGCTGCGAGATGCCCTATACCTGCAGTGTGAGACCACCTGGGGCAGCCAGGACTTCCTTTCCAACCCCTTCCTCGTGCACATCACAGGTAGGAGCTGCCCCTCCCCCAGCGATTGCTCCTGGTGCCCTGGGAGGAGGACGGGGACCCACCCCAAAGCCCAGTAACAGTGCTGCCACCACCACACTGGTGTCAGGCACTTAACCCTGTGCTCTGTGTGCATTGGGTGTCCATGTGTGCAGTGTCCCGGGAGGGTGTGGGAGTCACTGTGCATATGTCACCAGGCAACGAGCTCTATGACATCCAGATGTTCCCCAAGAAGTCGCTGGAGCTGCTGGTCGGGGAGAAGCTGGTCCTGAATTGCACCGTGTGGGCCGAGTTCAACTCGGGCGTCGCCTTCGACTGGGACTACCCGGGCAAGCAGGTGAGGCCAGCAGCCTTGCCAGAGTGCCTTCCTCCTGCTCATGCCTTCCTGTCCCCAGGAGTCCTCATCACTGACCGTGGCCTTGGTGTAGAGGGTGTGCAGACCCAGGGGCCCTAGTCTGATGGGGAAGTTTTCCACCCCAAGGAAAACTCAGCCTGGGTCCAAGGCTTCTCTGGAGCCACTTCTGGCTGGGCTGGGGTGTGTGCCTTGGGGGTAGTTCTGCGGAGCCTACCTGCTGACCTTGGGCTCCCCTCGTGCGGCAGGCAGAGCGGGGGAAGTGGGTGCCGGAGCGGCGCTCCCAGCAGACGCACACAGAGCTGTCCAGCATCCTGACCATACTCAATGTCAGCCAGCACGACCTGGGCCCTTACGTGTGTGAGGCCAACAATGGCATGCAGCGATTCCGGGAGAGCACTGAAGTCATTGTGCATGGTACGGCCTGCGGCTGGGGCATCTTGTCCGCACATGCTGAGGGGGGCGGTGGTCAGGCATCATCCAGCCTGAGGAACAAGGGTCCTTGTGCAGCATGGGCCTGGCCCAGAGGTCCTGGTGCACCTGGGTGTGGGGAATCCAGCCAGAGGGAAAGAGGGAGTGTGAGCAGAGGAACTACCCAGCTCCTAGATGGCACAGTGAGCCCCAGTCTGTAGACATCTGGCTACCGGGGCCTCGGGGTTGTGGCTGCGAATCCTTGTCAGTGATGGATCAGCCCTGGATTTACGAGGATGCCTCTTATCCGGCAGAAAAGCCCTTCATCAGCGTTGAGTGGCTCAAGGGACCAGTCATGGAGGCCACAGCAGGAGATGAGTTGGTGAAGCTGCCTGTGAAGCTGGCAGCATACCCGCCACCGGAGTTCCAATGGTAACAGCCTAGGCTCCCTCCCCTCACTCCCCTGCCAGGCCCATGGCAGGACAGACCAAGGGGTGAGAAGGGCAGCATCCTCCCTATCAGGCCTGTACCCTGACACCCGCATGGGGACCTGGCCCTCCCTATGAGGCCTGTACCATAACACCCAGGGTGGTGAGACCCTCTCTAAGGAAAGCCCCAAGGAGCATACACATAATACGATAGCTAGCAGCCCTGCCAGGATGGAAGTGCCCAGGCTGGAAGTGCCCAGGCTGCAGCGGCCCAGGCTCCTGGTCTGTGAGCTGAGAGAATGGGACTTCCCCTGTGGGTGTGCTGAGGACCAGGAGGGGGATCCCTCAGCAGTGGTTCTGCCCTCACCCTGTGCTCCCTGCAGGCTCTAGAAGATCCAGCACCTCCCCTCCACCGTGCACCCTCAGGCCATCTGAGCAGTCCACACAGCCCAGCCATAGCAGGTCACCCTCTAGTCTGAGGGTGACTCAGGTTGCTGCCAACCTGTGACAGGTTTAAAGTTGAACACTGGCTTCTGTTATGTGTGGATGTGGTGGCATGGTGTGGGGCTTTATCCAACTGCTCCTGCAGCCCCTCAGCATCTCTGAGGCCCTGACAGCTAGACCCACCTGCACTCTGAGTAACCTCCAGAGTCTGTCCCGCAGCAATGGTTGCAGCTTCCCTAGGCCTCCTTCCAAGAAGGCTGCCTCTCCCAGGACTCTGCTATCCAGAAATGTGGAGATGCCACCAGGGCTTTGATAAATTGTTATGGATCCAGCCCTGGGCTGGTTCTGGCTGCTTGACAGTGAGTGCAAGAGCTTCCAGGAGGCCTGCAGGCTGCAGCGGCCCAGGCTCCTGGTCTGTGAGCTGAGAGAATGGGACTTCCCCTGTGGGTGTGCTGAGGACCAGGAGGGGGATCCCTCAGCAGTGGTTCTGCCCTCACCCTGTGCTCCCTGCAGGCTCTAGAAGATCCAGCACCTCCCCCTCCACCGTGCACCCTCAGGCCATCTGAGCAGTCCACACAGCCCAGCCATAGCAGGTCACCCTCTAGTCTGAGCCCCCATTGCACAGATAAGGAAACAGAGCCCGGGATGGGAAGAGGGCATGCCTGCCTGAGCCCTAGCCCCCCGGCAGGTGTCTCCACTCTGTCTAGCTAGCCTGAGGAGCCTCACCCTTCCAGCCTGGGCACTTCCATCCTGGCAGGGCTGCTTTATCTGGTGCTGGGCAAGAGGAAGCCCAGGTGTCCACAGCTGGGACCCCTGCACCAGCCCAAGGTTGGGAAGCAGGCTGCTCCTGGGAGGGCCCAGGGTACCCTGGCCCCAGGCCTGGCGTGACCCTCCCTCTGAGAGCACAGGCTTTGGAGTCCACTGGGGGCTCCTGGTGCAGTACCTTGGGGCAGGCTCCTAAGGGCACTCAGGCAGCCAGGAGCTTCACTCACAGGTGTGGCTCCTAGAGAAACCCTCTAGAGGCTCCTAGAGAACTGCAGCTGCTCTGGGCAGGTGGCTGGCGCTGCTGCGTCCAGGGTCCAGCTCAATCCTTAGGCAACTGGCTGCCTCTCAGCACAGCTTTCCACTGGAACATTCCCACCACATCCAGCTCTTCTCTTCTCACTTGGTCAACACCTGCCTCCAGGAAGTGCCCACCTGGGTCACCCATCCCAGGATGCTCATGGTCACCATAGCCCCATAGATGCCACCTTTTATGTTGCTCGTCGTGTGATGGCTCTGAGTCAGTGAGTGGATGGACGGTCTAGAGCAGCGGTCCCCAACTGTTTTGGCACCAGGGACCGGATTCATGGAAGACAGTTTTTCCACAGGACGGGGGGTGTGATGGAGGAAGGTGGTGATAGGAACGATAGGCAGCAGCTGTAAATATAGATGAAGCCCCGCTTGCTTGCCAGCTTCTCCTCTCCTGCCACACACCGCCTCACCTTCCTAAGTTCCATGGAACATGGTGGGAGATGAGCTGCGCAGCTCTGTGGCCAGGTCCCTAACAGGCCTCGGCCAGTTGGTCGGCAGCTCGGGGGTTGGGGAGCGCAGGCCTAGAGAACACGCAGGCAGGCTGGGCAAGCACCCGCCTCGTGCCCAGCATGGTGCTGACATTACATGCGGTTAGACCTCACGACCCCTGCAAGGTGCATTTCATTTCCCCACTTTTCAGATGAGGACACTGAGGCTTGAGGTGGTAAAGGGGTTTGCCTAGGGTCACAGATCCAGCAAGTGGCAGGCTCAGGCTCTAGCCTTAGCACCAGTGCCTGGCAGAAAACATGGCCTTGGCTGTGCCCCACCCTGCCTTGCTCTGCAACTCCAGGCCAGTCACATCGTTTCTAGATGCCGGCTGTGGTGTCAGAGTTGAGAGCAGGCCACTGTGGCTCCCGCACTTTTGGTCTTTGCCTGAGGGACATGTCTCTCCCAGGCCACACTACAGTGCCCCTGGCTTAGCACACGCAGTGCTGGGAGGGAGGCCTTGCCTGAGGGAGGATGGTCTCCAAACAGGGTCCAGAGCCCAGGTCACAGAGGCAGCTGTCCCTTGGGGTGTGGGACATCCAATGGCTCACATGTGCAGAAACATCCATGAAGCACCTGCCTTCTGCAGGGCACAGCTCTGCAGGAAGCAGTCCCTGCCCTCTTGGGGACCCCAGCTCAGTGGGGGAGATGGATGGTCAGCAGACACGTGTGTGAAACCCACTGTGCTGATGGACGCAGGGCAGGGGAGCAGGCAGAGCTGGGTCACTAGAAGGACAGCAGGAAGGCTGCATACCCCAACCCAAATGAAGGTGGGAGGGAGCCGGGAAGATTCCCAGCCACAGGAATGAGTGTCCAAGCCAGGGGGCAGTGTGTCCACTATGTGGAGAGCTCAAGGAAGGGCAGAGGCAGAGAGCTCTGTGGGCACTGCACCTTCACTCCTTCACATGGCCTGTGAGACAGCGTCTCTGAAGCCAAATCCCAGACCCTCCTGAGCTGGGCCAGGTGAGCCTGGCCAAGGGAGGCTGGCCAGGGTCACAGCCACAGGCAGGGCAGAGAGAAGGCAGCTGCCTCAAGCAGTGACACAGTCACCTTGCTCTTGGTGGCACAACCACAGATGCTTTGGGGTGAGGCCAGAGGTACTGCTGCAGACCTCAGGGATGGATTGTCAGGCCTGGCAGACAGGGCCTGGAGGCCATGTCCAGAGCTTTAGGCCAGTTGTTTCCAGACCATCATCCACTGCTACTCTCTCTGGTCTGGCCGCACCCTTCCCGCTGGGAGGCACTGGGGGTGCCAGCGTGGGGCTGGGATACATCCATGCAGCCCCCTGAACTCCCTTCCTGGGCTAGGTACAAGGACAGAAAGGCAGTATCTGGACGCCACAGTCCGCACGCCCTGGTGCTCAAGGAAGTAACAGAGGCCAGCGCGGGCATCTACACCCTCGCCCTGTGGAACTCCGAGGCCGGCCTGAGGCGCAACATCAGCCTGGAGCTAGTGGTGAACGGTGCGCCAAGGATGGGGGAGGGGGCGGGGGCATGGCACGAGGGCCAGCTGACCAGCCACCTGCTATGCCCCCAGTGCCCCCCCACATCCAAGAGAAGGAGGCGTCCTCCCCCAGCATCTATTCCCGTCACAGCCGTCAGGCCCTCACCTGCACAGCCTACGGGGTGCCCCCACCTCTCAGCGTCCAGTGGCACTGGCGGCCCTGGACGCCCTGCAAGACGTTTGCCCAGCGAAGCCTGTGAGTGTGGCTCCAGCCCGTCCTCCTCCATGTCACAGTCTGGGCCCCAGCCCCAACAGTGCTGAACCCACTTCCCAGCCCTCTTGCCCATACCCAGGCCTTGCCCATACCCCTCCCCAGGGCCCTGCTCTGAACTTGATCCCTGTCACTGGTTCAGCCGTAGCCAATCCCTGGGAGCCTCCCTTGTGTCAGTCTTCCACCAGCAGGTCGGGCTGGGCTTGGGAATCTGCCCCACCACCTCCCTGCAGAGCAAAGCCCCCTGGATACACATTGCACCATTCGGAGAGGACCAAAGGATGGGCCTCTGAGCACCAAGCAGGCCGACCTGAGACAGTATTAGGAAACTTGTGCTGTGCCCCAGGGCACACCAGGATCACTCACACACCTCAGCTCATCTAGGCAGTGCTCAGAAAATAGGGTCAGAGAATGGAAGTAACTTAGCCCAAGCTCACAGCTAGAAGCAACAGCGCCCACCCAACTGCTGAGCCCCGCTCCCCTGCACTGAGCTGGATATTAATAGGACAGACAGGCTGGAGAACACTTAGACAATCAGGGGACTGGACAAGAGGGTGCCAGGGTGGGCAGGAGTCCTGAAAGCATTAGGGAGTCAGTGAAGGTCACTGAGCAAAAGAACGATGGCTCAGGTTTGTCTTTGAGCAAGGGATCCTAGTTTGAAGAGCTGGGAGGGATGGAAGCCGGGACCCCAGACAGGAGACAGGGCAGCCCCACTGGCAGAGAGCTGTGGATCCAGCATGGACAGTGGGGAGGCTCAGTAGGCATGGCCTGGGGGCCAGCCCAGGGCAGAGGCAGAGGCTCTGTCCAAGGCTCACAAGGGATTCTTCCAGACCACAGGGCCTGTAACTCACGGCTGGCACCTCCAAATCTGATGCCCCACCATTATGCTCTGTGCCAACTGATGGAGCCCTGGACGCCCCAGTCTGCTCCTCCACTAGAGGCAGACCAAACCCCCGTTCAGGTCCTGAGACCCCCATCCAGCAGGAGGCCAAAGGTGCTGGAGATACGTGCTCAGCCCAGAGGGAGGCGGCAGCTCCTAAAGGAGGACAAGAGAGGGAGAGGCCCGTCAGAGGTCTTCCTGGGACAGAGTGGGGACTTGCACTGTCCTGAGTGAGCTGGGTGGGCAGACCCAAGGTGGCCTTTGCAGTTAGGGACACAGAGAAGCAGGTCAGAGTGGTGCATGTGTGCGTGGGGACGCTGAGCACAGGAAGGCTGCCTCTGGCAGCCTGTGCAGGATGGGCTGCTGGGCCCTCCACGTGAAGGGTGGGAGACAATGCTCCAGAAACAACCCTTGCCCTGCGCGCCCAGGCCCAAGGGCCAGCCTTACCTAGCACCTCGTGAGATGACTCTGAGTGTGGCAAAGGCATGACCCCTTCACCCCTCCATGCGGGCCCTCCCTGCCTGGCCCCCTGATCTGCCCTTGTCTCCTCGTCCTAGCAGCCAGCGGCAACAGCGAGACCGCATACCACAGTGCCACGACTGGAGGGAGGTGACCACACAGGATGCTGTGAACTCCATCGAAAGCCTGGACACCTGGACCGAGTTTGTGGAGGGGAAGAATAAGGTACAGGCCAACCGTGTGCCACTGAGGGCCAGGGAGAAGGACAGAGAATCTGGGAAGGGGCCCTCCTGCCTTCTTTGGGTTCGCACCTGGCCTGCAGAGCTTTGGGGATAGCAGGTGCAAGTCGGTGACCTTTGTGCAGTCTCTGGGCCTTGCTCTCCTGCCTGCATGTGAATAGAGGGCCGACCTCCAGCCACTTCCCAGACAAGGAAGCTGAGGTCCAAGGCTGCCTGGCCAGGCCATGGGCCCCGTCCCAGCCACCCACGGGCTGTGAGGGGACAGGGCTGGGGGCTGACCAGGTCTCCACAGAAGGCTGCGAAGCCACTGGACCAGCCTACATGCAATGCTGAGGAGGGGACACTGAACAAAGGCACCCACTTCCTACGGTCACTTCCTGTTTTCCTACACACCTCCAGAGCCTCTTCCTGTTCCAGGCCTGGCCAGGAAGTGCCCAGCTAGGGGGCGGGGCATGGTCTTTGGATGATAGGCAGGGCCTATAGCCCTCTCCCCCGTGTCTCAAGCTTTCTATTGCCTGAGATCAGAGTACTTCTGGAAGCCCAGGACTCACTCCCACCCCTCTCCAGAACCCTGGACATGGGGAGGGGTGCTGTGGACAGCCCTGGGGCTGCTGTGGGCATATTACAAAGGTCTCACACAGACACCAGCCTTAGGCCACAGCCTGACCCCATCCAAGAGTGGCTGGCCCCTTGGTGTGACCACAGGCTGAATTCTAACCCTGGCTCGGACTGACCCAGGTGTTAGGCTAGCTCCTGGCCCCTCTTCACCATGGCCACACACCAAGCCCAATCACAGCCAGAGGTTTATCTGGTTCTGCCAAATGCCACACCTTCTGATGTCATCACAGTCTATCCCAGCTGTCCATACACTCCCCATGGCTTTTCTGGGGAGCCACCTCTCTCTGTTGCCCGAGGGCCTCTCCTCTTCCCTGCGTCTTCCCTCACCACTCCTGATCCTGTCTCTGAGCTTTGATCATCTCCAGCCCAAAGCCTCAGTGTCCCCCATTACTCTGGTGGGCACAGTGACCTCCTTGCAGAAAAGGAGGGTCTGGGTCATGTGAACTTGGGCAGGAAATGGATCCTTGTGTCTGTGCTCTGCCCAGACTGTGAGCAAGCTGGTGATCCAGGATGCCAACGTGTCTGCCATGTACAAGTGTGTGGTCTTCAACAAGGTGGGCCAGGACGAGCGGCTTATCTACTTCTATGTGACCAGTGAGTGGCCAGACCACCCCCCAGGGAGGGCCACTTCCCTGGGCAGGCTTGGGTGCAAGGTCAGGAAGCAGGTTTGGGATCATTGAGTTTCTGATGTCCGGGGGGCACCCAGTAGAGACATCCAGGGCTTACTGGACCCCTGGGTCTAGGGGAGCAGATTTGGGGTCCATTGGCATAGAGACTGGGTGCTGGTACCCTGGGATGGAATGGTACCCTCTGCCCCCCATCCCTGGAGGCACCTCCCCCAAGGATGTGCCCTGCTCCCTGCAGCTCCTCCCAGATCTACCCCCTCCCACACCCCTACCCAAACCCAGGAGCCCTATGGCTGGCATGTGCATTTGGCCCTGGGGACAAGGTCCATAATAGATTCAGATTTTCAAGTGTGCTAGTGACCTCAGGAGAGCTCAGATGCCCAGGAGTGGACAGTCCCTGGGATGTGGATGAGGGTACTTCCAGGCAGACGGAGGCAGAGAAAACACCTGGGAGATAGGGCAAGGCGGTAGCCCACAAGATCCTGACAAGAAATGGCAGAGAGACAAAAGGAAATTGGGAGTGTGGCACTGGCAAAAGCTAATGAAGAAATGGTCTCAAGAAAAGGACAGTGGTGGGGTGTGGTGGCAAGAAAGGATGAAGACTCAAGTCCCCACTGAGTCTGGCCAGCAGGAATGCCTGACGGTCTGGACTCCTGGGAGAGGTGGGGGCGGCAGCCAGGTTGGGCTCCTCCGGGAGAGAGAGGAAAGGGAGACAGGAGGAGACTTGGTGGGGCTGACTTCAGAGAGCTGGCCCCGCTGGTGCTGGTGCCAGGAACAGTGGCAGCTGGGGCAAACACCGGAGGCAGTGTCACAGGGGGTTCCTCTTCCCTCCCTAGCTATCCCCGATGGCTTCAGCATCGAATCAGAGCCATCTGAGGAGCCCCTAGAGGGCCAGGCCGTGCGCCTGAGCTGCCGAGCGGACAACTACACCTACGAGCACCTGCGTTGGTACCGCCTCAATCTTTCCACGCTGCACGATGCTCAAGGGAACCCGCTGCTGCTCGACTGCAAGAACGTGCACCTGTTCGCCACCCCGCTGGCCGCCAGCCTGGAGGAGCCCGCGGCTGGGGCGCGCCACGCCACGCTCAGCCTGAACATCCCCCACGTGGCACCCGAGCACGAGGGCGACTATGTGTGCGAGGTGCAGGACCGGCGCAGCCACGACAAGCACTGCCACAAGAAGTACCTGTCAGTGCAGGGTGAGGCGGGAGGGGCTAAGCTTCGCATCTAACCATCGCTGTTTCTGGCTGTGCCCTGCACGCCGCTGGGCATTCGTTCACAACCTGGGTCCTGCAGGAGCATCCCCTTCCCCGACCCCACCGTGGAGGTGCACAGTCTTCTAGCCCGCACACAAACTCTGACCTTCTTTCCATCCTCTGTTCACGGCCAGCAGGGCCTGGTCGAGGGGTGCCCTGCTTAGTGCAGCTCCACTTAGCTCCCTCTCGAACCCTGCCCCTAGCCCTTGAAGCCCCTCGGCTCACGCAGAACTTGACCGACCTCCTGGTGAACGTGAGCGACTCCCTGGAGATGCGGTGCCTGGTGGCCGGAGCGCACGTGCCCAGCATCGTGTGGTACAAAGACGAGAGGCTACTGGAGGAAGAGTCTGGTAGTGAGGGTGGTCAGGCAAAGGGCGGGGTCCGGAGGCCTGCAAGGCCAATCATCCCTTCTCCTCTCCCTGCCAAACTTGCATCTCCACCCCACCCTACCCCTGCAGGAATCGACTTGGCAGACTCGAACCAGAAGCTCAGCATCCAGCGCGTGCGCGAAGAGGACGCGGGACGCTATCTGTGCCGCGTGTGCAACGCCAAGGGCTGCGTCAACTCCTCCGCCAGCGTGGCCGTGGAAGGTCCGGCGTCCGCCCCGGGCTGCTCCACTCTCCTCCCGCCCCCGCTCTGCGCCTGCCTGGGGGCCGTGCAAGTGGTGCCCGCCAGAACGGGCGTTCCTGCAGGCGCGCCTTCCTGCGCACACGCACACGCCGGCCCTCTCTGTCCGCGCAGGCTCGGGGGACGGAGGCAGCATGGAGATCGTGATCCTCGTAGGCACCGGAGTCATCGCGGTGTTCTTCTGGTTCCTTCTTCTCCTCATCTTCTGTAACTTGAGGAGGGTGAGCGTCACTCAACTACCGAGCCCTCCGGGCTCCCGCCTGTGTCTCTCGCGCCAGTCCCCACCCCGGCCAGTCCTTAAGAAAGAGCAGGGTCCACGTCCTGCTTCGCCCCGCAGCCCCGTCTCCCGGGAAGCCTCCCGTCCTCGCTGCCCGGCTCTAGGAGCAGCACAGGTTGTTAGTCCGTCCCCTCCTTAAGTAAGGCCCCCGGAGGAAGTGCCACGCGTCGTGGGCAAAGTGTCACCCAAGCCCCGGTGGTGTGGCCAGATCAGTAAGCTGTCACCACCCCACCCCCAGCTGGCCCACGCAGACATCAAGGCGGGCTACCTGTCCATCATCATGGACCCCGAGGAGGTGCCTCTGGAAGAGCAGTGCGAATACCTGTCCTACGACGACAGCCAGTGGGAGTTCCCCCGGGAGCGGCTGCACCTCGGTGAGGCGGCGCCCTGCCTGACGGAGGCGCCGCAGCTGCTGCCCGGTCTGGGGCGCCTGAAATCCGTCCATTCCCAGAACTCGTGCCAGGAAGGCCCGCCTGGCCCCCGCCTGGCCTGACCTGCCCATCTGGGCATGGGTCCCCAGAGCCTAGGCCAGGGCTCATAGTTCCCACGCCCCGCTGGGTCACTTCCTGCTGCTCTGAGCAGGGTGGGCCCGTCACACCTGGGGGAGGATGCGGGTCCTTCCTGACGCCTCCTCGCTCCTCTCTTCCCGCTCCTCCTGAGCCTGCCTTCCTGGCCCTCCAGCGAGTCAGCCCTCCTGCCCACCTGTCCCCACCCTCGCCCCCATACGGCCACCTGCAACTGGCTCCCTGCCCTACAGGGAGAGTGCTCGGCCGCGGCGCCTTCGGGAAGGTAGTAGAAGCCTCGGCTTTCGGCATCCACAAGGGCAATGGCTGTGACACCGTGGCCGTGAAAATGCTGAAAGGTGTGGGGTCAGCGGGTGCAAGGGGCAGAGGAGCTGGTGAGGAACAGCAGCTCTGGGTGGGTCAGGGGACTGTGGTGCAGGAAGGGAAACTGAGGCTCAGAGCCAGATTCTCCCAGAGTTCTGCAGGGAGGCGGAGGGAGTCAGAGCCAGGTTCCACTAGAATCCCCTGCCTCCGTGGGGCCAAAAAGACCTCCTGAAGACCCTGAGCACCCCTCCGCCACAGCGGCTCCCAAGATCGCGGAGTGTGCCTTGGCTAAGCCAGTGGCGGGGAAGGTGGTGCAGGCAGGGATTAGGGCAGAGGCCAGGGCTACCGCGCGCCGTGCCAGGCCCCGTGTCTCTTCCAGAGGGAGCCACAGCCAGCGAGCACCGCGCCCTGATGTCAGAGCTCAAGATCCTGATTCACATCGGTCACCACCTCAACGTGGTCAACCTCCTGGGGGCGTGCACCAGGCCCAACGGTACTGGGGCGCCCGAGGGCGGGGAGGCCTGTGGGCGCCCTGTGCGCCCCGGGTAGGAGGGGGCTGCTGGGCGTGGGGTGGGCGGGCGTCCTGGCGGGGCTGGCCGTCCAGTGAGCCGGTTCCGCCGGTCCTGCCAGGGCCCCTCATGGTGATCGTGGAGTTCTGCAAGTACGGCAACCTCTCCAACTTCCTGCGCGCCAAGCGGGAGGCCTTCGACCCCGGCGCGGTACGTGCGCGCCCGGGCGGTCCGAGCGCTGCGGGCGGGCGGCCTGCGCGGGGGCGGCCGTGGACTTGCTGTGTGCGCCCGCAGGAGAAGCCCCCGGAGCAGCGGAGGCGCTTCCGCGCCATGGTGGAGGGCGCCAGGGCGGATCGGAGGCCGGGCAGCGGCGACGGGGCCCTCCTCGCGCGGTTCCTGACGGGCCCGGGCGGCGCGCGGCGGGCCGCCCCCGCGCAGGAAGGTCAGCGCCGGGCTTCCCTGGCCGAGTCTGGCCGGCGGGTAAACTCGGGCTCCGCACCCCGGGGCAGCCCAGCCTCGGTGGCGCTTCCTTGGAGAGTTGTGAAGGGCTGTGCCTTGGGAGGGACGACGAGCGGGGACGGTTTCCACGGGGAGCTGACGCGCGACTTGGCCTCGCAGGCTGGGCGCGGGCTGAGCGGCCGTGCCCGCCCGGAGAGCCCCGCGCCCGCCGGACCCCGCGCCCGCCGGACCCCGCGCCCGCCGGCGGTTCGGCGCGGCTGCCCGCGCGCGGCGGGCGCGGAGCCGCGGAGGCTTCACGGGCTGGGAAGGGAAGCGAGTACGGAAACAGCTGAACTGGTCTGGACGCAGTTTGGGTGGTTAGCCGCCTAGGTTGGCCGAAATCGGTGACTGGCAGGGTAGGTCGCGGCCCGGCCCCTCGGAGGCCCCGGGCGTCCAGCCGGCGCAGGGTCCCCGCCCGGGCGCGGGGAGCCCGTCCCCACGGGAAGAAAGGAAAGGAACCAGCGGGGTATAGTCTGCTTGCATTTTGCTGAAGTTACAGTTTATGTGTGGAGAAACCTTAACGCGGAATTTAAAATATGTAAGGAGGTAGTTTCAGCTTAAAAATTAATTCAATAAATTTTTTTAGTCAGCTTCTTAATTTTGAGAGATTGACCAAAATTTTAGGCATATGATGTTATTTTGTTACTATTGTAAATTTATTTGGTCCTAAATCTCACTGGGAAATAGCAGAACGAGGGGGGATTGTAAGGTGGGAATAAGGACTTTAGATTACTTTTTTGTAAGGGGAATTTTTTGTTTTCAGGAGAAAAATAAAATCTGGACTCTTGTAGGTTTTTTTTAAATTTTAGCTTGATTATGTGGAATTTAGTATGACTGATTCTGGTTTGGTCTGATCTGTTGGGACATAGTGTATAAGTTTAGTCTAAAATAATGGCCTCATAATTTTGTTCAGAATTTTTTGCTTAAGTGAGAATGTGACCAAAACTTAGGGCTTTGGCAACATTTTTTAGTTACTATTATTTTGGGTCTTTGGTCTCAGTATGTTATTTATAGGTTATGATGTCCTCATAGTCTGGGTTTTTTTTTTCTTTTGAGTTTTTGTTGTTTTAGTCAGACCATTTGACCTTTTATGGCTTTAATTACTTAAAACTTTTGAAAGAATATAGCATATCAGGGAGACTATTATTATGACTGTTAAGAGGATAATATTAAGAGTTGGGAGTATTTTGTTAAATTAATTAAAATTAAATAAATTAAAGAGTGAGTCATAAAGAATTTGTTTTCATCAAGTAGTCTGTTTATTAATTTTTTATAATTGAATGTTTATTAATATTAATGTGTTTATGTGCAATAAGTAATGTCAGTAACTGTACTTTTTTTACCCAGTCAGTAAATATTTAGGGTAATTTTATTATTTAGTATGACTTTAGTAAGAGAATTTAAAGAAGTCTGTGGTGTAACTGTACCCTTTGTAGTAGAATCTGATGTAGTCTATTATGAGGGATACAGTTTTAATTACTGTCACATTTATTTTTAAACAATTTAAAACAGTAACTTAATGATGTCCATTTAGAAGGGTGAAGGCCTTTTGATAATTGTTTAAATCACAAATCACCTTAGATGACTTAATGAACTGATGTTTTGTTTTTGACTGATTATGGAGTAATAAAGATATCATTAACAATTTTCATCTATATTGGCCTATTTTTATTAAGGTATATAGGTTGTCTAGGTATAAGGTTGGCTATGAAATTTTTTTACAAATAAAGGTATATCCCATTGGTGTATATAAAAGACCCCTTTTTCAGTTTTATTGTTTATAGAGTCATTAAGTAAGGAAAAACTTGAGAGGTAAGAATCTCATGATAGTAGGGAAGTCTTGATATGTGATCTTGGGAAAGTTGCCTAAATCTAGGATGTCATCTGTTTTGGGGGAGAAACTTTTTTGGTTAGTTTTATCTTAAGATCATTAGTGGGTGCATACTGTTAAGAATTTGAAGGGGCCCTTTGAGTTGTGAGATTATAAACTTGAGGTTTAAGGTCCCAAAGTTTTGTTGTAGTACACAGGTGGGAAGAACAGTCTTTTCTTGATGTCATTTTTAAAAGACCCAATATTCAGGTTTTATATTGTGGAGGGTCTGATTGTCTTTAGTCAGTGGACCACGAAAAGTTTTTTTATCTGATGAAAATATATTTTGGCATAATGTATTAAAGTCTTATAGCATTTAGTGATATTAGAGTTTTCTAGTGGAAGGTATATGAGGTTTTATTACTAGGAGCATGGGCCTTTTAGTGATTTTTAGTGACATCTTGACGATTTTACAAGGGGTTAACTTATGTTTTTTACTGGAAATAGATTTGATTGTCATTAATTTATAATATCTTCGACCAATGCAATTCAGTAGATTTAGTTAGTTTTGTTATTGTGTTGGTGTTATTGTGTTATTTTGTTATTGTGTTTAGTTAGCTATGTTTTTGTGTGTGTGGTATCTGTTTTATAACCTGTCTAGTGAAATAAATATTTATTATTAGAGTTTTTAGAAATATCCCATAAGATTTGGAAATCTTGTCTAGCTGTGTGCCAAAAAAAAAGAAAGAAAGAAAGAAAGAAAAAGAAATATCCCACAAGAGAAACATTTTTAAATAAGCTTTTAGTTATTGTTATAGTATTAATCTTCTTATATGGAAAAGCTTTTATATAATCATATATTGAAAATGACAGGCTGGTTGCTGTGGGTCACACCTATAATCCTAGCACTCTGGGAGGCTGAGGCAGGAGGATGCTTGATCCCAGGAGTTTGAGGTTGCAGTGAGCTAGACTGATGCCAAGACATTCTAGCCCATTCTAGCTACAGAGCAAGACCCTGTCTCAAAAATAAATAAATAAATAATTTTAGTAATCTGGACTACTAATAATACCACACTAATACATATATATTTTTATGGCTTATGGAATGTAGAGTTTTTCATAATGGAAGTTTTAAGGACTCAGGAGGACTAGGTGGCTGTCTAGGCTCTTGATAAAAATCACACTTAATTTTGGATTCTTTTTAATATTAACTTTGTTTTTTAAATTTAGGCACATAGCCCTGCTCATTAGATGATTATCACAGGTGTTTTGACTTGGGCCATGGAGTTTATTTAAATTGTATATTTAAACAATTTTAATATTGGCTGATTTAGCATGAAAACTTGGGAAAGTATTTTTTTGGTATTTAATTACATTTTTTTGTTTGGGTTAGTAATTTTATAAACCAGTAAGTCTCTTTATTAGAAGTGTGGGGCCGGGCGCTGTGGCTCACGCCTGTAATCCTAGCTCTTGGGAGGCCGAGGCGGGCGGATTGCTCAAAGTCAGGAGTTCAAAACCAGCCTGAGCAAGAGCGAGACCCCGTCTCTACTATAAATAGAAAGAAATTAATTGGCCAACTGATATATATATAAAAAATTAGCCGGGCATGGTGGCGCATGCCTGTAGTCCCAGCTACCCGGGAGGCTGAGGCAGAAGGATCACTCGAGCCCAGGAGTTTGAGGTTGCTGTGAGCTAGGCTGACGCCACGGCACTCACTCTAGCCTGGGCAACAAAGTGAGACTCTGTCTCAAAAAAAAAAAAAAAAAAAAAGAAGTGTGGTAATTTTTATTTAGTCTAAATGATATGATTTTAAAGATATTAGAAACCTGTATTTATAAATGTTTGCCAGGGTATTTTTATTCTTTTTATGAACCTCCTTAGAGACATAACACTCTAGGATTTTTTTGCTTGTAAAGAGCTTTCAGAAAATGTATTAGAATTTAAATAATTAACTGAAATGACTTAAAATAGTCATAGACACAATTGACAAGGAAATTTGGTTATTTTGTGGCCTATCATAATTTAACTTAATCATAATTATGACAATAATGTATATTAAGACATATTATAATTGTAGGAATCTCAAAATTTTAGAAAATATATTAATACATTTATAGAAGTATAAAATTTGAAGAAAGCTAAACATTACTTTTTATTTGACAGTATTTATTATGTAGTTTAACATGTCAAATAAGCCTGTTTGTTATCTGTCTTTTGGATATTGTAGAGGCCCTCTGTAGCATCTCAAAGTTAGTATGACGTCAGAAAAAAGACTTAATTTTCAATTCAAAATTTGATTTTAGGAAGACTGTCATATATATCAAAGGTTTAAAACACTTAACCAAAACGGGATTATAGGTCATTGCAAAATAATAATTTATCCAAAATGATAATTAAAAGGTTTTAAAAAGTAAAAATCCTTATTTTTTGATAGAAGACTTGGTTTTTTAAATAATTAACAGACCTGAGAAAGACAGCATGAGACAGAATTTGTCTTCTTTTTGTAGTTTATGCAAAAAGTGAACAATCATATACAAAACTTAGTTTTGAAAAAAAATTTTAAAAATAGAAAATTTAAAAGTGAAAAACATTTTATTATCTCTTATTATGACATGAAATTTTTTAAAAGAAACAACTAAATTTTATTTTCTAGTTTATCGATATTAAAGTTAATTTTAATAAAATTTTGTAAAGAAATTTATCTAATCTCAGTCAGCTTTTGACCACCACATAAGATTTTTACAAGCCTTTTATAATTTTTATAAATATTTAAATATTTTATATATTATTTTTTCTTTGAAACAATCTTTTAACTTTTAAAGTAGACAAAATTATTTTTTTAACAAACAGAAAAAAGTTATGTTTTTATAACTTTTTTATCAAAGTATCTTTTTTGTTTATATACTCTGTATATAGAATTTTTTCATATTTAGTAGTTTTCATTGCCATATTAATTATTAATAACTAATTTTTAATGAAAATGCTAGGATGTAATTTTGAACTGTTATATATTGCTATTTATAGATGAAAACTATTTTATAATTTTTAATTGCTTTAATTTTTTAAATATTATATATTTAAATAATTTTATCATTTTATAATTTTTTAGAAAGATATTTTAAATGTTTTATTTGTTAATAGATTTAAATATAGTTTTTATATCATGTCAAAATAAGATGTCAAAGCAGATAAACTTAAAACCTATGGTTAATAGCTAATGTTTTAGTATTTTAACTTTTTATTTAATATAACATGACTAGGTTTTAAATTATTGTTAAACGAATTTTTAACTTTGGTACTGGTACTGTCTTTAGTGTCTTTCCTAGTCGTCCTGGATCTCAGCTAGCCACATGGCACCCGGGACTGTTATGAAGGTCAAGGCCCATCTGCTTCTTGAATTTATATACCATGTGTACAGCTCAGGACAGATGAGACAGCTGTGTAGACAGTGTCTGGGGGATTGAACTCCCAGAATAGCCAGGAGGCAAAGCTGGTCTGGGGAGGTAGGGCCCATATTGAGCTTGACTTAAGTCTTACAGTTGGCCGTCTAGGTGCTGAGACTATGTCCCCAAGCCTCACCACGTTCACCTGTTTAGACCCCAGAATCCAGAAGCTCAAAACCAAAAACATAAGCTCGCAAATTAAGCAAGTATTAAAAATTTTAAAGAAGCAGTATTTTTATGACCTCAAAACATGTAGCAGAGGCAGCATAAACCTGTCTGACCAGCAGACTCAAGCAAAAATGTCTGAATTATACTTAACTGATAATTTTGAAGTCATTTTTATTTTATTAACAATTTTTAAAATTTAGTTTTACTTATTGAATATTATCCCATATATATAGCACATAGAGACATATAGATACAGACAGAAGCAGATCTTATCATTTTTATAAAGGATTTTTATTTGTTGGCTTTTAAATCATTTTTTAATTTATACCATTCATCTTTTAATTATCTGTTTTATTGTCCAAAACAATTATTAATTAGGCAACCTTAATTTTTTTGTAGGGATAACTCTAGGTGAAATAAGGTAGAAAATTTATATTTTAAAAGCACAGAGCTGAGACTTTAGGCCTACATATTGTGTCATCATTTGCCCAAATGAAGGAAAAAGGTGTTGGTAAAAATCTAGTTAAGACAAAATGACTAGGAAAAGCACCTTAAACAAAGGTAAGGCTTAATATATACAAGCCTTAATATGTATAAGCCTCTTAAAATAATGATAAGAGTTTTTAGTGTATAGAGATAGACACCTTTATAGATGGAGCTTTTTTATAGATGTAAATTTTTTTAAAAAGGGTTTTAGAATAGTCAATTCAGTGTCATACAGGTGTATTTTGGAGACCAGTTTGGTTTAATAGGTGGTCTTTTAACTTAGCTATTGCTTTTTAGTTAAAATTATTGTGTTTTAGGGTGGAGCCCATTAGGGAATAGGGCATAGAAAGTATTTTCTTATGTCTAGACTCAGCATGTATAGATCTGACAAAAAGTAAGCCTATTTTATCCGAGGGCTTCCTTTTCATAAACACTTTATGCAGGATAGCTTTTGTGGTGGTTTTTATGTTTTTGTTTTTGTTTTTTGCCTTTGGGGCAGAATAGCAATTAAGCCAAAAGGTTAGTAGATTTAATTTTTTATTAATTTTATTTATTTTTTATTAATTTTATTAATTAATCACATAAGCTTTTTATGTATCTTTTATAGAGTCTTTTAAAAGAGGGAATAAAATATTTCAATATTTTTAGAAGCTTCTATACATTAATGGGCATCCCTGGGCTGGGCATGGTGGCTCACACTGTACTTTGGGAGGCCAAGGCAGAAGGATTGCTTGAGCTCAGGAGTTTCACACCAGGTGGGTCAACATAGCAAGACCCTACAAGAAATTTAAAAATTAGCTGGGCATGGTAGCATCTAGTGCCTGTAGTCCTAGCTACTCAGGAGGCTGAGGCAAAAGGATTGCTTGAGTCCAGGAGTTCAAGGCTGTAGTAAGCTATGATCACACCACTGCACTCTAGGTTGGGCAACAGAGAGAAACCCTGTCTATAAAAAAAATAAAAATTAAAAAAATTTTAAAATTAAAAAAAATAAAATGCATCCCTGGATCAGAATAATTCGGGAGCCCTCATTTTTAAATGTACTTTGTAAATTACATTGTTATTTATTTGGAATGTTTTGCTGTAATTTTAAATTATCTTTTTAAGATTTTATTCTTTTTGTGTTTGCTATTCTGAGGTCCAGTATTTATGTGCATATAGATAGATGTAGCCAGAAGGTAGAGTGCTCAGTTTGTTTAGAAATTAAGGATCCCACTTTTACCTGGAATCTTGACTTTGGCTATCAGATCCCATTGATCAACTTAACCAATAATTTTTCTCTACCTAAGCACAGAGGAAAAAGAAACAAAGAGGATAGAACACAGAAATTCCTGCAAATTTTTAAAAAGTGAAGTTTGCACAGTTTTGCCATTTACTCCACTTTCTGCCTAACCCAGTCAGACATCTGAGGCCTCTAACTGTTCCAAGCCAGTTAATTACTGGCTCCAGTCCTGGCTCCTGTCCAGTTTTTGTCAGACTTCTGAACCCAGTCTCAAACTCAGATGGCTCAGGAGTTTGGGGAGGGAGAGACAGAGACAGAAGCCTGATGACCCCCAGTTGCTATGAAGAACACTGGGCAAAATGCTTGGTCACTCGGTGCTCCTGAGGTCACTGGGAGCTTGACTTCAGTCTCACTTCTGACACCGTCTGTTAAAGGAAAAACCTTAGACAAATAAAATTTAACAGAGTTGAATTGAGCAAAGGATAATTTGCAAGTCAGGCAACCCAGAATCGGTTTAGAGAGACTATACTACCACAGGGTCAGAGAGGATTTATGGACAGAAAAAGGAAAATGACATACAGAAAACAGAAGTAGGACACAAGCAGCTGGGTTGGTTATTGCTTGGTATTTGTCTTACGTGTACATGGTGGAAACAGTGGGCTGCCTTCGAGTGGCCAGAACTCAGTGACTGGTCAAGAGCAGGTTATAGTCTGTTTACATATCCAGTTCGGTTTCAGTTCACTAGTATGGAGAAACCTTTAGGCCAAACTGTAAATATGTAAGGAAGCTGCTTTAGGCTAAACTTCAGGTGCAACAGTATTTACTACTCTGGGAGTAGTATCTTACTACTTACTAGTGAGTAGTAAGTAAGTGGGGCTGAGGGGTAGGAGACAGGGGACATGCTGGTTAGAGGCCCAGCCCCAAGGGAGGCAGCCAGGGCTGGGTGAATGAACATTCCCTTTGGGGCTGGGTAGAGGATGGAAGTCATGGAGGAGGTTCCCTCTAAGACCACCTTGCTCTGTACAGCCGAGGACCTGTGGCTGAGGCCCCTGACCAGGGAAGACCTTGTCTGCTACAGCTTCCAGGTCGCCCGAGGGATGGAGTTCTTGGCCTCCCGCAAGGTGAGATCCCCTGGCAGGCCCTCCAGAGGGGAGAAAGGCGCGACCCCATCAGCGTGCCACGATGTGCTCCGTCCTAACTTCACCCCTGCGGTCCGCTAGCGTCCCTCCCGTTTTGCAGAGCAGGGTGTGGAGTGGGGTCAGGCAGACTCCACAGCCGTCCCCACAGTCCCACGAGCCCCCTCTGTGACAAGCCCGAGGGATGCACTGGGCTCTTCCCCAAGAGAGCAGGGCTTGGGCAGGGCACGCCCGCCCTGGAGCTTCAGGTGCGGCCGCTGGCGCCTGCCCTGACCGGGCGCCTGCCCTGACGGGGCGCCTGCCCTGACGGGGCGCCTGCCCTGACGGGGCGCCTGCCCTGACGGGGCGCCTGCCCTGACGGGGCGCCTGCCCTGACCGGGCGCCTGCCCTGACCGGGCGCCTGCCCTGACCGGGCGCCTGCCCTGACCGGGCGCCTGCCCTGACCGGCGCCTGCCCTGCGCTCCCAGTGCATCCACAGAGACCTGGCTGCTCGGAACATCTTGCTGTCCGAGAGCGACGTGGTGAAGATCTGCGACTTCGGCCTGGCCCGAGACATTTACAAAGACCCCGACTACGTCCGCAAGGGCAGCGTGAGTGCCGCCCCGAGGCGGGAGGCAGCGAGTCCCCCAGGCGGGACTGCCGGGCTCGCGTCCCGGAGGGCCGTGCTGGTGCGACGCGGACTCCTGGGCTGCGGGCCTCTGCCCAGCACTGGGCCTCACTGTCCCCGACCCCACCGAGGTCTGAGGGCCTGAGCCTGCAGGGCCGCTGTGGCGCCGTGCAGGCAGCCGGGGGTAGGGCAGTGGAGACGGCAGTGGACGGGCGGGGCCCACGGTGCTCCCCTCCTGCGCCCTGACTTGCTGCGCCCGCCCTTCGGGCCTGGGTTGCGGAGGCACCGCATGGCGTCTGTCCTGCAGAAGGGCGCCCATTGCGGGGCCATCTCAGGGCCGGGCTCGGGAGGCGGGTGCAGCTCCTTGCTGGAGCTCAGAAGCACAGAGGGGTGCCTCCATGAGCAGGCAGCGGGATCACAGCTCTGTGGGCAGAGGCACGGGGTGAGCAGGGTGGGTCCAGGGCGTGGCCTCAGGTGGAGGCCAGTGTCCCGCTTGCATCTGCAAGGGGCCCAGAAAGCTGCAGTGGCGGGATGGGGACTGCTGGGGTGGAGGCAGAGGCCAGTCAGGAAGGGTGGGGCCGTGAGAAGGAGAGAGGCATGGGGAGGATGCAGCAGGAGCCACAGGAGCGACGCGGCTCCTACAGTGAGGACAAAGGAAATGGGTAGAGTGCGCTTATGGGGGAGGTGAGGAAGGTGTGCAGCCATGCCGTTTCCTTGGGGCCTGCTGTCGAGGAGGGGGTGCAAGCACCTCTCACCCACCCCTGAGAAGAGGAAGAGAGGGGCCTGGCCAGACCCAGGAGAACAGCAGTGGGAAGAAGTCTTGGATCCAGGCAGAAGGGACTCCTTGGGGCTTGCCTGAGTGTCTGGCCTCAGCCCTGTCTCCCCACCAACCGCGGGACACACCTCCTTCCCCCACCCTCAGGCCCGGCTGCCCCTGAAATGGATGGCCCCTGAGAGCATCTTTGACAAGGTGTACACCACGCAGAGCGACGTGTGGTCCTTTGGGGTGCTGCTCTGGGAGATCTTCTCCCTGGGTGAGTGTAGGGGGTGCCCGGCCCGGTAGCATCCAGGTCCCAGCTACTCGATAGGTCCTTCTAGTGCCAGGGACTGGGCACCTGGTGGTGGACACCAGGTGGTTCTGAGGCAGGTAGTTCATGGGCCACCAAGAGCCCCCCACCTCTCCTTGGCCTGGCCCAGCCTTTAAGAGGACTTTGTCTCGGACATGGGCCACCCCCCACCCTGGCACCACTTCTGGAGGGTGCGAGCTCAAGCCCATGCCAGGTTCAGCCTGTGCATGTGGCAGTCCCCAGCTGGCCACAGTCCCCAGAGGGAGCCCGGTGCAGATTCACTGACACCTACTTACATGAGTCCCACAAGGGAACTTGGGCCCCACAGTGAACATGCTGAAGTCTCATGGCAGGAGAGGGGAGGCAGTGAGCAAGAAGAAAAGTTAAAACGTCACCAAATGGAAACAGTGCTTCATGCTATTACCGAAACTACAAGAGCAGGAAGACCCTGGCGGCTTGTGTGAGGCAGCAAGGCCCAGGGAGGGAGGACAGCACCCAGGGCCAGGGGCATCCAGGCCCATGGCCTCCTGTGTTGGAGGTGGCCAGGGTGCAGGCAGGCAATGTCAGGTGCAGTGAGAGGCAGGAGAGGCTTTGTGGAAACTGGTTCTATGTGGCTCCCCAACCCCCGAGGATCCTGTAACTGTGATTTCCTAACTGTCTGAAATGCGTGGATGCTCAGGGCAGCCCAGCACGCGGGCGGCATCATCCTCTCTTACCCTCATGAAGAACTAGTGCTGGGAAGGCAGTGACTTGCCTATGTCCCAAGGTAGAGCACAGCGTGGTGAGCTATCATCTCCACCTGCCGAGGGGAGCAGAGGGAGGGGACTGGATAGGAATGATTTGGGGGGCTGGGCTGAGCAGTCAGCAGCCTGCTGTCCACCCACCCACCCCTTCCTGCTGTCAGGGGCCTCCCCCTACCCTGGGGTGCAGATCAACGAGGAGTTCTGCCAGCGGCTGAAAGACGGCACCCGGATGAGGGCCCCAGAGCTGGCCACTCCTGCCATGTAAGTCTCCCCTACCCTGCAGGTGTTGGGGGCGGGTAATGGGCTGTGGAGATGGACATGTGAGATGAGCAGGGGGCACTGGGGAGGCCAAAGCCAGAAGGGCGGGCCTGGCCACCACCCTCACGACACATAGATAGTCACGGGTATAACTGACGGGCACCAGGCAGGGAGGCCAGGAGCCCTGGGAACATCTGACAGGAGCCAGAATCGGGGTGAACAGACTAAGCTCACACTGAAGGAGCGAGAGGCAGCTGGAAAGGGGTGGCGGGCTCTAGCAGGAGGACAGAGCAGGGTGAGGTTCCTAGGGAAGGCTGGGGGCCTGGGAACAGGTGGGCGCCCTTGGACCACAGCCAGCAGCCTGCTCTCCCCCAGACGCCGCATCATGCTGAGCTGCTGGTCTGGAGACCCCAAGGCAAGGCCTGCATTTTCAGAGCTGGTGGAGATCCTGGGAGACCTACTCCAGGCCGGGGGCCAGCAGGTGAGCCCCCTCTCTGCCCTCCTGCTGCACCCTGGGCCCCTGGCCCCGGCTCCCCCTCTCGGCCCCTCTAAACTCTGCCCACCTCTGAGCTGCCTGGCAAGGGTGGTACATGCCCAGGTGAGACACAGGCATCTTCCTCTTGAGCACACACCCACTGGTGCCTGCTCTGGACGCCATTCGGATGCTCACAGTTTGTGCCTCCCTACGGAGAGCCCCAGGCTGGTTCCTTCGGGCATCATCGAGCTGTGTCCCTACACCTGGTGCCTGCCCTGCCCCTGCCCTGTCCCCACCCTCGCCCCCAAGCACATGGGTCCTTGAAGTACGTGTCCTGGTATCTCTCCTTCCCAAATGGTGCTCCTCAAGGGTGGGGACCCAGCTCATGGCAGGCACTCCATGCCTTGGGGCCTGGAGGGAAGGATCAGGGAGCAGCCTGCTTCCCAGGGCTCAGAGGCTGAGATGGGAGCTTTGGGTCCAGATCCACCCAAAGAAGAAGGTAGAAAGTACCCACCTGGTTTCTGGGACTGCAGGCACAGCCAGGGGTGGGTGTGAGGCTGCTCGACTGGGTCCCGGCCCTCCCGGCCTGCCTCTTCCACAAATGGGGCACCAGGAGGGCTGCAGGGAGCTGAACAAGGCTGGCACTGCGAGCCTTCTGCAACCTTGCCCTCGCCTGCCTGGAGAGCTGAAGCGTGCCAAGCTCTGGCGCCAGCTCATTGCATCCACAGAGCACACACCTGCTGGCGCAGTCCTATGACCCCGCTTCAGGGGGTGGGAGCCCAGGCAGTGCTGAGGAAAGGAGTGGGGGCTATGGGGCAGTGCCTGTCGGTCTCTGACCCTGGCTGCCTCTCCTATTCCCACCAGGAGGAAGAGGAGGACCACATGGCCCTGTGCAGCTCTCAGAGCTCGGAGGAGGGCAGCTTCCTGCAGGCGTCCACCACTGCCCTGCACGTCACCGTGACCGATGCCCAGGACAGCCCGCCGAGCCTCACTGCCAGGTCAGCTACCCGCCCAACTCCAAAAATGAGGCCGGGGAAAGGGCTGTGGACAGGTGTATTTCATCCTGCTGAGTCATCAAGGAAAAGCAAATAGTAGCAACTTGAGAGACACGTGCACACCGACTCAGAGCAGGTGGTCTTCACTGACAGCGCAGGGCCCGTGGTGCTCTGGGAGGCTTCATCCCTGGGGGGCCTCCAGGGCCTGCCCGCTGCGCTGCGTCTGCTCTCCTCCGCCCTCTCTGCCCGCTGGCGTCCTCCTTGCTATGCAGTCCTGGGAGCCGGTGCCGGGGTCGAGGGCACAGCTCACAGGGAGAGAATGTGGCATGGGCTGTGTTTGGGCCAGACTCCTCCCGGGATCTAATTAATGACACATCTCGGGGTGAGTGTGTGAAGCCACTAGCAGGCCCCTGGGGCCAGGGAAGGCCACTTACTCCCCACGCTCTGGGACCTTGGCCTGAGTTCCCAGAGTTCTAGGTCAGAGGCCTCTTACCTCTGGCAGCTCACACCCCAGGAAGGTTGTGCCGTCCACACTCCCACCAGCACTGCTGAGACCCAGGCCCTGAGAGTCCTGCCCTGTGTGTCCCATTGTGGGCAGGGCCAGGCCCTGGGGACAAGAATAGTCAGCTGGATCTTGCCAGGCTCCTTCCACCAGCCACCCCAACACACACACGCGTGCGTGTGCACACATGGGCAGGCCAGTTGGCTTTCACACCAGACCTGCCCTCTAGCTTGGGGTGAAGGCCACACTGGTGCTGCCCAGCTTCACACTGCATGGGGCTGGGCTGTGAGCCCCTCTCACTGCAGAGCACAGCAGTGGGCTTGAAGGAAAGGAGGCCAGGATGGGGCAGGGAGCCCAAGGTCCCTCCACTGGGGCTGCATGGTGGACATTGGAGGCAGGGCCTGGGATGGGGCCCCAGGCGGCACCTGGACCCAGGCCCTGAGATGGGGGCCCTTGCCAGGAGGTGAAGAGGAGAAGGGGAGCTTTCAGGAGAGTTTCTGGGGTACATTTCTTCAGCACTGTCTGATTTCTCCCCACAGATATTACAATTGTGTGTCCTTTCCTGGGTGCCTGGCCAGAGGGACTCAGAGCCAGGGTCCCTCCAGGATGAAGACGTTTGAAGAATTCCCCATGACCCCGACGGCCTACAAAGCCTCTGTGGTATGAGAAGGGCGAGGCCTCAGACCAGGGCCAGGGCAGCCTCAGGGAGTCAGTGTCAGGAACTCCTGAGGCAAGTAACAGAAACCAATGCAGACATTTTTTAGCAGAAAAGATTGTCCCTTGAAAATGTCACAGCACGTGTCACAGCACAGTTGAGTCTTGCCCTCGTGTGATGATGCAATCCCCCAGCTGTCCCTTCCCGGCATCCTTGTGACTCCCAGACAGGCCTCCCCACCACAGCATCACAGAAACCTCAGTGGGAAAACAGCTCCCTCTCTGGGTGGGTCCGTCGGTCGGGATGGGCAGGGCTCCTGTGCCTTCCCAGGGAGGCTGGTTTGTGGGGCACAGTGGGGGACTTCACCAGACCCCCAAGACCTGGGCTCGTGCCTCCAGGGCCAGATGGAGACCTTGGGGGCGCCCAGCTCTCTGCAGTTCCCTTGCCAAGCCACCAGTCGAAGGGCAGCAAGACCCACTAAACCCCTATGTGTCTCCTTGGCGACTGCTGGCTCGCCCTGGCTGGGGGCAGTTGCCCTGTGGGACGGTCCTGTGGGGGCTGCAGCTGCAGCTTTTTCTCTGCACTCAGGACAACCAGACGGACAGTGGGATGGTGCTGGCCTCGGAGGAGTTTGAACAGATAGGGAGCAGGCAAAGACAAGCCAGCGGGTTCAGGTAAGGGCTTCTGGAGCCTCTCTCTGCAGTATTGGCATTGCCCTCCCCAGGAGGGGCTGGAGCACTGGCCCAACGAGAGAGGCTGGGGCTGGCTGTACCTCACTCTTCCCAACATCTTTCATGGCCCCCTGGTACCGTGTTTCCCCGAAAATAAGACCTACCCATAAAATAAGCCCTAGCAGGATTTCTAAGCACTTGCGCAATAGAAGCCCCACCCCGAAAATAAGCCCTAGTGATGGGCGTGGCTGCGCTGTGCATTGGCACAACCCATGCGTTCTGTCGCAGAGCGGGAAAGAAGACGAGCAGCCCTTCTCATCTGCCCGATGAGAGCTCTATGGCTCAACATGAGAGATCAGGGCCAATGGTTCTAAAGGAAATAGAGTCGGAAGACATTCAGGATGGAATTCGGGGTTTGGAGGGTGATGATGATTTTCCAGAAGATGACGACTTCACTATATTTGAATCAATGTAGATTGTTGTACCGTACTTTAAATAAAACACATCCCCTGAAAATAAGCCCTAGGGTGTCTTCTTGAGGAAAATAAATATAAGACCCTGTCTTATTTTCGGGGAAACACAGTACCTCCTGCGTGTTCAGGGCAAGCTGTCCTGAGACCCAAGGGCTTCACGGGACCAGAGGAGCCCCTGCCATCACCATGCTGGCCTGACACCCGCCCTTTCATCTGGGAGGTGTTCAGATGCTGCACTCTGTGAAATGGTGTGTGACACGCCCCTCTGCCAGCCAGGGGGAGGCCACCCTCATCCCCAAAGCCCAGCTCTTCACCCAGTGGTCACAGGCCAGGCACATTCTGTAACCTGAGCTGGCTGGTGTCATATTTTGATAACAGAAATACCCACGTACGCCTGTACAGAGGGGACCCAGATAGAAGATGATCTCCATTTGCCCTACAAGACATCCCTGGGGCCGGGGAGAGTTTCGTCCAACTTGAATATTTAAACTTTTTTTTTTTTTTTTTTAACCAGAGTCTCACTCTGTTGCTCTGGGTCATTGCAGAGGTGTTACTGTAGCTCACTGTAACCTCAAACTCCTGGGCTCGAGTGATCCTTCTGCCTCAGCCTCCCGGGTAGCTGGGACTACAGGCATGCGCCACCATGCCCGGCTAATTTTTTATATATATATATCGGTTGGCCAATTAATTTCTTTCTATTTATAGTAGAGACAGGGTCTCGCTCTTGCTCAGGCTGGTTTTGAACTCCTGACCTTGAGCAATCCGCCCGCCTCGGCCTCCCAAGAGCTAGGATTACAGGCGTGAGCCACAGCGCCCGGCCTAAACTTTTAAGAATATAGAAAAAAGAGAGTTAAATGTGTACTTAAAATGTTCGCTTTATTTGTTTATTTATATACACCTGTTTAAATGACAGGACCTACAATGTTTTAAAAAATACTGGTCCTTCCCTCTTTCTTCAGACCATCCTATCCAGACCATCCACTTGCACCTTTGACATTGCTGTCTATCAAGAGCCCCTTTTGGGGTCATCTGGTACAGTTTTCCAGAGCAAATCCTTTACTTCTCTGTACACTGTTTCTGAACCAATATATGCCATTGTCACTGAATATTTCACCCTAAACCACAGGTATTTATTTGCATAACATGAGGATAGTTGATGTTGGTTTTGCCTTTGTTGTAGGTATATTTACAACCTCTACCACTTAACCCACCACTTGGTGGCTTATCCCACCAGCCACAAGGGTGCATCTGTGGCACCGTTAGCACAGGCGGCCGTGCCGTGCCCAGGAACAATGACTGTGTCTGGTTTGTACATCTTGGCTTCCTGTTTTTTTTAAATTGATTCTATCAGGTTGTTTCTATTAGTGACCTGGTTTGAGAAAATTAATGATAGGTACATTTACAGAAATGGTTTTTGGCTAATGTTTTTTTACCCAATCAGCGTTGTGTCATTCAAATAAAGGTAATAAAGTGAAAAGGCAATTCAGAGGATGATGCCATTCAAATCCAAACCTCTACCCCCCTTCCTAACAGCAGCACAGCTCTTCAGGAGAGCCCAGTGGGTGCTGTCCCACCAGAGCAGAGCATGGCCAGGTCCTGGGACTGGCCAGCGGGCTGGAGGGTGGCAGAGGAGGCTGACCTGGTGAGAGCAGGGCTGGTCGGGCCCGAGACACCGCAGTGGCTGTCTTGGGATGGCAGTGAGGCAGGACCTCAGGTGCTTGGTGGTAAAGGAAGAAGAAAGTTCCAGACAATAAAGGTCCTATAGAAGCAAGACAGTATCCAGAATTCAGAAGAAGACAGATACACACCCACATTACATTTCATTACAGAAACAGCACCTCACCGGAGTGGCAGCAGGGGACACACATGTTTCCCTTGGAAACACATCATGGTAAGACAGGAAGAGGCGCAGCAGATCATGGACAGGTGCATTCACTGGGCACACAGAACATTTCCCCAACAGGTGTCCCGGCTGCGGGACCTTTTGTTATTCGCGGGGGTCAAGGGGGACCTTGCCTGAAAGAGATGGGCGAGAGAAAGGAACGAGACCAAGCAAATGGTTGTCAAGGTCTGCTTTACTTAGATTCTTAGTAGGTTTTATAAGCATACAGAAACAAGGAAGTAGAAACAAAAAAATAGAGTGGGGCGACGATGAGGCTTGGGTCTGGGTTAATCAGCCCCAGTCAGCGTCTTATCGGTATCCTGTTTGTGACTGCTTACTCAACTCCAACCTGGCAGGTGGTTGGGAACAATTGCAGCCAGCACTCCCTGGAGCATCCAGTGGTCAGCACGTCATGGACTGCATTCTTCTCGGAGCTATAGCTGGAATTTTCCAGGGCAAAGTCCGTGCGTAGGACGAGTCATAGGGGAGTTGAGGGTCTTTGAGGGTCCTTGCCTCTAACATCTCCCCCTCTCTTTATTAATATGAGGGAGGTTTATATAAGTTGGTGGAGAGCCTGTTTTAGGCTACGCGATGTGCTTCTGCGACCAGCACCTCAAATATAAGATCTGGCGATTAATGTGAAGGTGAGGCCTCTGTCTTAGGCTATGTAGGTGGCATCCAGCTCCGGCACTTCTGATTATGAAGTGGGCCTCCAGGCATGGACCTACAATATTCCCGTCATGGAGTTACCTCACTGCTGGTGGGGTGTGCACCTGGTACGCGGCATCGCGATAATCCCGTCATGGGCGTCTCCACAGCCTTTGGAACCAACTGCGTTCCATGTCTGAGGCAAGGTCTGAGAAATTTAGACCTTTACTGGGTGTATTGGGAGACTCTCTACGGAGGTCTTCTCTGGAGCCTCATTGTTCTAGCCGTTGGTAAAACACGGAGACCGATTTTTGTGTGGCTGCGTCTACCTGTGACTTGACAAAATTAGTTAGTTTTTTGAAAGCCCAAGGCCCAAAGGTGAGGAGCAACAGAAAGCCTACAAGCGGCTCTAAGACACTGGGAAGCAATGTGGATAGCCAGGGGGATGTAGAAAACCAATTTTGATACCATGCCTCACTCTGTTCTCTCCGTTTTTTTCTATCTTCTAGGCTCTGTCTAACTCTTTCAATGCTATCTTCTACCAGACCTGTTTTGTCTGCGTAAAAGCAACATTCTTCTTTAAGTGCTGCGCACAAACCTTTTTCTTGGAGGAACACTAAGTCTAGACCTCTTCTATTTTGCAACACTACCTCAGAAAGCGAAGCGAGGGATTCTTTGAGATATTTTAGGCCCTGCTGTAGCTCTCGGAGATCGTTATCGATGGCAGCAGAGAGCTGAAGGTATTGCTGGTTGGAGGTGACTAGAGAGGCTATGCCTGTTCCAGCCCCTGTGGCACCAAGGCCTAGAACAACTTCGAGTGTTATGGCCATGATGGGCTCCCTTTTTTCTCGGGGCATTGTGGTGCCACGCTCTCAAAATTTGAGCAATTTGTCAGCAGGATGTACAGTGAGTCTGGGGAAAAGCATGACTTACACACAATATTCTCTATGCTCAAGAAACGTTGCAGTGACTACATACGGGGTAAGACCGGAAGAACAAGCAAAATAAGAGGTGTTAGATGCCTGAATATATTGAAAGGTGGAGTCGACAATTGACTGATTACATATTTTTTTTAAGGGTGCGGGGGGAAGCATTCTTGGGCTAAGAAGGCAAAGGCCTAGGCCTGTGACTTGGCTGAGTGTCAGGCCATCATGGGTCTCCAGGCCCCATCTGAGTTTGCTGGTGTCGTTAGTAAATAATAGTTTACCAAATGTAGCGACACCCTCATAGAAGGGAGGCCGGGGGGAGTAGCCAGTGACCTGGGCATTTATGGCCTGCTCGACCAAACTAAGCGCTTGCTGCCCTTCTTTAGTTAGGGAGCGTGAAGAGGTTGGATTGGCATCTCCCTGCAGGATGTCAAATAGGGGTTTTAACTGTCTTGTGGTGAGTTTTAAATATGGGCGAAGCCAATTAATGTCGCCTAGAAGACGCTGAAAATCGTTAAGGCATTGAAGAGAGTCTTTACTGATCTGTACTTTTTGGGAGAGGACCTTATTGGGGAATAATTTAAAACTTAGGAACAGGTGAGGGGGACAGACCTGAATTTTTTGGGGGGACAAGCGGAGGCCTCGAGCTTGTAAGGCCGAGACAACCTGCATAGTAACTTGATGTAGGGTTGCCTCGTCAGCTCCGGCAAAAAGAATGTCATCCATATAATGAATTATATATATTTGAGGATGTTGAATTCTAAAAGAATCAATTGTCTGAGCTACATATTTTTGGCAAAGGGTAGGGCTGTTGGCCATGCCTTGAGGCAATACTCGCCACTGGAAATGTGGGGAGGGTTCTATACAGTTTACTACCGGGAGACTGAACGCAAAGCGTTTGCAGTCATCTGGGTGTAATGGTATGGAGAAGAAGCAGTCTTTTAGGTCAATGACTATTTTATAGTAGCCTTTGGGGATAGCTACGGGCGAAGGCAAACCAGGCTGGAGTGCCCCCATGGGAACCATTGTTTGGTTAACAGCCCGTAAGTCTTGTAGCAGCCGCCACTTGCCAGT